TATTTCAAAAGTTTCTATTCATAAAAATATTGATCAAATTAAATATGCACTCTTTCTATTTCTTGTTCTGAACTGTAAGCACATTTTAATGCTGCACTGTCCATGCCTAGAATAATAATTATAAGAACCTTAATTATATTTGCTATGTTAGTCAATGAATTTTAGGAAACAAAATATATTAGTCACATCTAAAATGTCTGCAGGTTGTATTTAAGAAGTATGCACTCAGTTTTATCTCTCTTTCTCTCTCACACACAAACACACACAAAGGAATATTAATCAGTCATACAAGTGACGAGAATTCTGCCATTTGCAACAGCATGAATACATGTTAAGGGCCAGAAATCAAACAATGAAACAGAGAAGGACAAATACCATCTGCTTTCACTTATGTATAATATCTAGATAAATAAATAAACCAAACTCAAAGAGGGAACAGATTTGTGGTTGCTTGAGGAGGCATGTGGGAGCAAAATATATGAATGGTGTCAAAACATAAAATTATCCAAATATAAAATAAAAAAGTCATGGGGATATAATATGCAATGTGGTGACTACAGTTAATAATATTGTCATGTATATAATATGTATATGTTTCTAAGGGTTTCTGATGTATTTTAATGAGATGTTATTGAAATCATATTGCAATATATATAAACAGGATGATGCTTTGTAAATTATACCACCATAAAGTGATGGAAAAGAAAAATAGAAAGGAACACTTTGGTACACCTATATCTTCTGTATATAAATACAAAACTATATATTAAAATTGACTCTTTGTATTTTGTAATTTTTTTGACATCTTGAGTTTCTGCTTGAATAGATTTATTTATTTGAAGGAACTGAAAGTAATATATTTAAATTACTAAAATTAAGGTTGAGTTAGTAAGCTTTTCTTTCTTATATTGACTCAGAAAAATATTTTTTTTCAAATGGACGTGAAGAGTTATTATTTCAAGCATTATTATTTCAACCACAAATTTGTGACTTGATCAACTCAGCGTAAAGCCAGAATTTAATACTTAGTTCAGATAAAATGAAGTAGGTATTTTATTGATGCTTATCATTCTTATTGAATTTATTTGGCATTATTTTTAAAAGGCCATTTGTTGTTAAACCCGGAAATTAAAAAAAAGCTTCGGTTACTGTGATTTGTGAGCACTTTAATTACCAATGTAGGGCAAGGTATTTGTTTAACTGGATGGAACTGCTAGCTCAGTAAAGAAGAAGATGGTCAACTGATTCTATCCTAATTGAAGTATTTCTAAATGTGTTCCATTCCTCAGCATTTCCAGTTAAACTTGTCCACATTCTTTCTTTCTTTTTTTTTTTTAAAGATGTATTTATTTGTTCCTACAGAACTGGGGTACAGGCCAGAGGCTCAGGGGCAGTGAGAGGCTTCACCAGAGACAGAGTGGGGAGCAGGACAGGCAGATCTACGAAGTACACTGCTGAGGGGAGCAGCAGGCGGGTCTGGAGAGGTCTGCCGCGCCATGTGGTCACCTCTGGGGCAGGCGGGAATTGAACTCATGCGCAAGTGGCTTTAGCTTCTCAGTGCTGTGCTTTAATCCACTGTGCCACCAGGGAGGGCCATGTCCACATATTTCAAAGCATTTCTTCTACAAAAACAAAGTTTTAAAGTATGATCTGTAGGCCTTCCTGCTGACACAAGGGGTTAAGTCTCAGCACTATGAAGCTATCGGCAGCCACTGCATCAAGGGTTCAATTCCTGGCCAGTAAGGTGACCCACATGGCACAACAGATCACTCCTGTCTCCCCCGCTGCTCCCCTCAGCAGCGTATTTCAATAGTTCCACCTGTTCTGCTCCCCTCTCCGTCTCTGGTGTATCCTTTCACTGACCCCACACCTCTGGCTTACACCCCAGTTCCTGTATGTATAAATAAATAAAAGCAAATCTTTTTAAAAAGTGTAAAGATAAAGGTGAACATGCTGAGTGTGGGATATACTTTGATAACTATATTCTACAGTTTAATTATTATTTTAATGTCTACTTTAAAATACACTTTAAAAAGTTATGATTATCTTTTTAATTTACTGATGCTTTTGTTTAGAATTAGAAGAAAAACAATTCAATTCAAAGGAAAATTTCATATGTAATGATTTAGGTAGCAGGTGAATATAGCAAAGAGAAGAAGTTGGTTGTTAAATGAGTGTTCAGAAATTCTACTTTAGGTGGTTGTAATTTTTAGTGGAGGTAGGACTATAATTTACTATGGAGGAAAAGTATAAGAGGATAAAATAATTATAGATGCTGTATCCTAACAGTAGATGACACATGTGAGATGTCATCCAGCAGACAAATAGTAGAAGTGCTTTGTAATTATTATATAAAACATTGAATTCATAAGATGGAATTCTTATGGCTAAGTCTGCTATGAGAATTGTTGAAGTAAAAATCATCCCGGTAAGGAATCTTTTTTTATTTTTTTTCCTGGTAATGCTAAAATGACAAGTAATCATACTTCATTGAAGAATTTAAAATAAGCTAGTTTTACAACATGAATATGAAATATGACTTTGAGAAATTTATGACAGAAACAAGCATTTGAAACAATGCCTTGCAGTGGCGTGTTCTTTTCCTTCCTATCTTAAGGAGCAATTTAGATAACTCAAGCCTGTTTTATATGAAAATGTACTGTTATTTATTCTAGGGGTATCAAATTGTCCAAAAGAAGTGGGGGGGAATTCTTATTCCCTAGAGAGTAAAGTGTTGGAAAAGATAAATCTGGGACAGAAACGAAGTGAAAAGTGATGATGAAGTAACAAATCTGATATTTCTGGTTTTGGCTTTGTATCTTGCAGGAAGAAAGACTAGCCTTTATTGCTTAGGAAAACCTGAGAAATAATCCTCCTTCAGAGTAAGAATTCAGAGACCTGTAATTCCTACAGAGATGGAGAGTGACACCAATCACAGAACAAGATGGCACCCAATGCCGATTCCTAACACTGTAAATTTCCAAGAAGAATGTGATGGTATTGTTCCAAAATCTCCACTTAAGGCAGTAAAACAAGTTCATATCTCAGCCATTGGAAAATACTGCTAGAAATTATTTAATATACTTCCACAATTAGAAAGCATCATCTATAACAATTTTAACAACATTGTATTGTTCATGTGCAAGTTACGCATTGAATACATCTAGTCATGTGCACACAAATTTTTATCTGGTGTCTTTTTGACATGGAGTTAATGCAATCACTTTCTCATTTATAATATATTTAAAAGACTGTTTTAAAAGACTTGATGATTTCACTCAATATACAAAGTGAAAAACAAAGCGAATGATTAAGCAAATCAAAAGAAAAGCAACCTTAGACTCTGACAACAAAATGGTTGTTAGCAGAGAGGAGGTAGGAGGAAAGGGAAGTTGGGGTTGACTGGATGTTAGTGAAGAATTATTCAGTGGTGAGTGTGGTGTGTTACCATACAATACAGGGGATGTGAAACTGTTTTCACAAACATATACAATGCAGTTCTTACCTCAAAAATAACAATATTAAGAAGTTTAAAAACATGTAAAAAGATTGAATATTTCTGACCAGAGACAATAATAATTGAAGTTCTTTGATCTGTAAGTTCTTTACACGTGTACCTGTATTTCATCATCGTCTGAAACTTTTTGCAAGTAGGTCTTATTACTACACTATTTAGATAGAATCTGAAGTCAGACATTAAACATGTAAATGAGACACACACAGTGACAGTTTTAGGAATAAACTTTGACCTCTGTGATACTCTGCATGACTTCACATCATAATTCATCACTGTCAAGATTGATTAATACAAAAAACAGGATCATCGAAAGATATTTTGGCTCAAAAGTTAATGCCAGGACTATATCAAAACATAATCTCTGAGACAAACCCTTTGAATGAAAGACTGGTTTATAATTAGAATAAAGGTTTTTATGTAAAATAGATTACTTAGTATGTAAATTGCAAAATACAGTATAACTTTTGATCCATGGCTACCTCACGTTCCTCAAAACTAACTCTTCTTCTGTCTGAAAGTCTACTGTATACATTGAATGTTCTTACAATTTAGTATATAGCTTTTATTAAATGAGTCTAGATTTTTCTAGTATTCATCAATGAATACACATTGAGATTATTCTAATAAATGTGCTAAAACTAAACTGTCAGATTAATACATTTTTGGATAGTCCTATTCAATCAATATCTAGTGGAAAATAAAGAAAACTCAACTGAATAATTAAAATAATTTAGAAATTATTGATAATTGGATAAGTAAAAGTGAACAAAATCTCTGAAATTTCTTTAAGAGTGAACAGAACAAATAACCCTGAAATAACAATGGAAAAATATTTCTTTTTTATCATGTAAAATTGCATAATAATATTATAAATATATACTTCCATTATGCATGCTTAAAATCAACATGTATATATATATATGGCATTAAGTCCATCACTGAAAGTCCAGTTCTATGCTTCTCTATATAACTGTCTCTTCAGAACCAATTTACTCACCCCGCCCCGAACATATTTCTAAATAAAGTAGATACCTTAGTTGGCTGATATATATAGTATACATATTTTAGACATATGTAATATATATAAAATTAGATTATACATGAAATAGTCATGAGGTTAAAGAAGTTCTATTTTTAAGCACTAAAATTTGTTGTTTTGAAAGGTTATAGCATTTTACAATAACATTTTATGTTATATCAGGATGTATAGTTCAACAGTTCCATATTATGCACAAAGGAAGAATTATAGTTTACATTAAGCATACACCATACACCAAAAGTCCATGTATGTAAAGGAGAATACCAACAACATGCAGCTTTGTGGTTTAGAGAAAATACACCTTTAAATATTACTTTGACTTTTGTTCTCTGAATTTTTTTTTGTTTCACTACAAGATAATGTGCATTTCAGAGTAAAATTTAATAATATAGAAAGCACAGAAAAGGCAATGGTTTTGTAAACCATTATACATTGAGTTGTTACCTTATCGCCTTCAGAGAAAGTGATGCCATCCACTGCTCTCTTCCAGATGATTTCTGGAATAGGCTCCCCTTCTGCTTCGCATGTGAGTGTGACTTGGCCATTCTCATATGTAGTCTCATTTTTAAGTTGTATTATGCGAGGCTGTACTGTAAAGAATATATACATGACTCAATCTGAAGGATGACATGACAAATTCAGATTAAAAAGTTATGGTGGCTCGTTAAATCCATTAGTACAGGATGGGGTTATGAATTTTGTACATAGAGGCAGGTTTTGCTTTATGGGATGAACAAGAGTTATAAAATAGAGAAGACTTTAGAAGGTATTTCTCGGACCTCCCTAGTGATGCAATGAGTTAAAGCATGGCACTGCAAGCCAGCCACAGCCACTTCACTGTGAGTTCTATCCCTAGACCTGGAGGTGATCCACATGGTGCAGCAGACCTCTCCTGACCCGTCCGCTACTCCACTCAGCAGTGTACTTTGTCAGTCTGCCTGTTCTGTTCCTCATTCTGTCTCTGGTGAATTGTCTCACCTTACCTGCACCTCTGGCCTGTACCCTGGTTTTGTATGCATAAAAAAATAAAACATTTTTTTAAAGCAATTCTCATTGATTGTCATGGAAAAATAATTCGAAGTTACTTAAAATCTAAAACACAAACTAATTTTCCCTAAGGCTGTTAATTTTAAAACTCCTTTACTATTTTTCTTATTTTTAAATTAAAAAACAAAAGAATTTTCTAAGGCCTACATGTTTGGGGGAGGGACATATACTTAGGTTATTACTTCTTCAAATTAAAAATACATTTCATGGTGGTGAGAGAACTAGATCGACTACAATGATGTAAGAATAAAATAATTTATGAACGAATAAAAAGAAAAAAAAAAACATTTCACCAAAGAGGGAATTAATGAATGTATCCTGAATATGTCACATTTATTATGTACATTATATATAATGTGTAAGACATAAACATACATACACACACATATAAGCTACTGATGTGTATTATTCTTTCACTAAAGATCTTTATATAAAGATGGTAAGATGTTGCTTTTCTGAGTAACTTTTCAAAACCATGTTAGCCAAAATGTGACCCTTTTCACCCAACACTGCCTGATGAATCAGTATCCCATTCTTTTTAGAACATCTTAATGCTCCAATTTTATAATTTATTTTAATAGGCTTTGGCACAGCTGTTTATCATCTGTCATACCACAATAAAATATAAGCTTTATTAAAAAAAAAACAACTTCTGGTTCAAATAATCTATTACAGTGCCCATGGGCAGCCAACTGGCAGAGAGCTTTCCACATCGGTGCCACCATTCTTCTTTTGTGCTAAGGAGTTAGATTGCCTCTGCCAACTCAGCCTCTGGTCCTTCCTACTCAGCATTCCCCCTTTTTTGCTTTACCACCTCTTTTCTGTGAAAGAATTTTGAGTCATCTGTATAACTGGATAAATGATCTAAAATATTACAGTATATTTAAGTGTTACTACTAAGCACTTTCTTTTCATTTTTAAGATTTGTTTATTTATGTATATAAGAACTGGGGTGTAGGCCAGAGCTGCCAGTGGCAGAGTGGTGAGAGGACTCACCAGAGACAGAGTGGGGAGCAGAACCACTGAAATACACTACTGAAGGGAGCAGTGGGTGAGACAGGAGAGCTCTGTGTGCCATGTGGGTCACTCCCTGGCGGGAACCACATTCGTGCTGCAGTGGCTGCTGATAGCTTCATAGGGCTGCAAGTTAAACTCCTTGTGCCACCAGGGAAGACCTACTACTACCTATTTAGAAGAGAATACTCACAGGGCCCCCCTGGTGGTCTAGGATTAAGTCTCACTGCTACCAGCTGGAGGACCCACTGCTACCACCTGAATTTGACCCCTTGCCATGGAGCTAATCACATGGCGCAGCAGACCTCTCCTGTCTCTCACCTGTTGCTCCCCTCAGCAGTGTATTTCATTAAATTCACCTGCTAAGCTCCCCACTCTGTCTCACAAATCCTCTCAACCTCTGAGAGACACTGGCCTGCACCCCAGTTATCCTATGCAAAAAAATAAATCCATAAATAAATTATAAACAAAATCTTTAAAAAACAAAGAGAATAGTCACACTTGCTATATTGACCAGCATGATGGAGCTACCCAAATTAATTAAGAAAATATATTGTTTCTTTGTAAGTTTCCCATGAAAGACAATGCAATTTTAGGTTAATTTGAAAGGTGCTTATATTTTATTTCTTTTTGATAATATGAAAAGGTTATATTGAATTATAGATGCAGGTCCATGTCGCCTAATTACACCTTAAAAGATCTTCTCTGATAAAGTGCACTGAAAGTAAAGCTGATCCCAATATATGTCATGTAAAGATTGATGATCCTACTTTAGTAATTAAAGTTAATTTCTCCTAACCTCTCTTATGTGCCTGCCAATATTTGATATGAATTTATATGCACAATTTCATACAGTTTATCAGGTAACCGTAATTTTAAAAATATATTTTAGAAGTGGGAGTGCTGAGATCTAAATTTTAGAAAGTCACACAGTTCCTGTAAGTGCAACCATAAGCTTTGACTCAGATTTTCTTCAGACATCACATTTTTAACCACTGTGCTATAACACTTACCGAAGACTTGAAGGAATGCCTGCTTTTCATCTTCTCCTGCCTTATTTGTTGCCCTGCAGACATAAGGGCCCCCATCACTATTGATTATGTTCTTGACAGTGAGTTCTGTATTGCTTCCTTTCAATATGTACTTGTCATTTTCTTCAATGAACTTGCCATTCCTAAGGAAGAAAATACAGACTGATCTTCATAAATATGACTTAGCTCAGAAGACCATATGGAACTTTTCTATCATAGCCATCAGTCATTTCATTACTGTCATTGACAAAGAAGACTATATTACAATCAAAGTATCCTTTTAGTAGTTCAGCAAAATAAAGGTATAACTATTAAAAGTATACTTGAAAACTTTTCAGACAGACATGAATAACATTTATTGATACTAATTTTCATCAAAACACATTAACTCTGTACTTTAAGAGTTAAATTGTATCCTGTGCTGAGTTTTGTTCTATACATACTTTTATATTTGACTTTCAACCCATTTTTGTGAGATATGTTTATTTACTAGCTTTATAGGACCTTTAAAGAATTCCACTGGAAGCATTGTTTAAAGAGTTTTAGAGCAAATGCAAATTAAATATACAGTCAATTTATACTGCATATAGTACTGCCAATGAAAGAGAAAAATGAAAGAATTATTTGAAAATATAGATATGGGAATTAGGCTGCATGATTCAATAATTAATGATAAAAAAAGATCATTAATCTTAAACATACTTAAATTTCTTCTTTCCAAGTTCTTTCTGGATTGAAATTGTATGTATTATGCTATAATTCTAGTTTTTGTTGTTTGTGAAAATAAACTTTCAAAATTGTTGGCATTATCCTAATATAAGGAATGTTTTAATGATGCTTGTTTCTGAAACAATGTCTACAATTCTCATTAATATGCATGAAGCATTATTATGCATACACACACACACACACACACACACATCATACCTATCCTATTTTATTCTTTTCATCTCCTCTACAGCATTTTCTTTCTCCTTCACCTCACCTTCTATTTTGAAAACCTGAATTGCCTGGATGACTGACTGTATTCTATGATGCAATAATGTCAAAATTTAGGATCTTTAATTAGAGGTATGCTGACTTGCTTCACCATGAAAATTTGAACTAAAGAAATAAATCTCTAAAACATTACAAAAATATTTCCTAGCATGAACAAGTATCTCTCCTATATACTAAATGATCTTTCTAGTGAATGCTTATTTTACTTTCCAGAAAGCCCTGGCACACATTCTAAATATATTTGTCTCTTTCTATGTCTCAGCAACATCTGCTTTTCTAGTTTATATTGACATCTGCAAATATATCATGAAATGTGCAAAAATTTTATAAGAAGAACGAGTACAAAATTAGAGTTTATAAAATACTAATAGGAAATTTTTATATATAGTGCCATGAACTTTATATAAATATGATGATTTTACAATCTAATATTGAAAAGTATAAAAAACATTTCAGCATCTTTGTTTAAAGTTGCAGGGATAGGAATATCAGTGCAATATGTGATTGAATATGTTTTTAATCATTTCAATGGACCATATTCTTTTTTTTTCTAACAGTAACAACAGTACACTAGAGAAGTTAGCAATTTTGGTATATATGATATTTTCCCTGTATTATTTAGTAGTTGAATAGAGACTTAGTTTCACACAATAAAATGAGCCATAGGTTTACTAAGTTCTGATAAAGAAGATTTACATATTGTGGTAAATACTTGAAGTGTAGCAAAGGAATGAGACAACATCACTTACGTTGAATGATTAATATTCTAATTTGTCGTAGTAGAAGCAATATATACCCTCTAAGTTTTTGCAGTTTCATTCCTAAGTTTTTTGCAGTTTGGGGGGTGGGGAAGGATGAGAGGGAAGATGAGTAACATACTCTAAGAATTTTCGTAAGAAAAAAAATAACTCTGATTTGGGTAGATTTAAGAAACTAAAGGGGAAAAAAAACTAAGGGAATCTAAGGACACAACTGATTTTTGTGAACTACTCTTTTGCTCTACTAATTTATTATTTCTAACAGTTTTTTGTTAGTGGACTCATTAGGTTTTGTTATGAATATATATGCTGTACAAAAATAATGGTAACTTTATTTCTCTCTTCATTTTTTATTCATGACTATATATATCTTTCTCTTTGCTGACTAAATTAACTAGAACTTCCAAGATTGTATTGAACAATAATGGTGAAAATGAACATTCTTGTCTTTTACCTACTGTCAGGGAAATTAGTTTTTAAAGATTATGTGCCCTTCAAAAGACTGATTAAAACTATAAAAAATCCAGTAACATGATAATAGTTTTCAAGGTATCTCTCCCAACAAATCCATTAGAGGGGATATATTAGTCATAGCCCATTTCTGTGGAATGCTGGTGAAAAAAGACACCCAATGAATGATGATGGAATTCCATGAGTTTATTCATTAAAGCTCAAGCTATTTCTCTAAGTCACCCTTTATCAAACATGAAATATGGGTTAGAATAAGGGTTGTGATAGAAATGATGAAGGGAGGCTAATTCCACCGATAACTATAACAAATAACAAGGGGAATATTTACCTACCCAGTCCCAATTGTAAAAAACAAAACATGTTGAACACATTGGTAAAAATGACAGTTTTCAAAGACTGGTCTACAGGTAGCACTCATGAGTGACCTCTGAAGAAAAGCAAAGCCTGCCACCTCGACAGAGTTTCCAAATAATAGCTCAGAAAGTGAGAACCCAAAGAATCGGCCTGGCTGGGCAGGAAGAAAGATGTTTATTTAGGGGAATGTTAAAAAGATTAGAATTTGAGGGGCAGAGAATATAAAAAGAAAAAAAAAACTGCACTAAATTGTGGATGACAGAGATATGAGGAATATCCCCAGAAAACCCTGAATCCGTGATTATATGGAATGTTAAATATTGAAAAAAAGATAAAACATAACAACCCTAATAGATCACATAGGATTAAGAAAAATTTGTATTCCCAACTATCCAGAGTAGAAAGAGTTAACATCTAGACTAATCTGAATAAAAAATAACTGAATAAATAACCAGTTATCAGTATAAGAAAAGAAGTTTAGATAAAATACAAGAGTATGGCAAAGGACTACTTTATTCCACTAAATTCAACATAAGTGAAATGGACAAATTTCTGGAATAATTTAAATTACCAAATATTATTAAAGAAAAAAAAATATGGCATATACCTGCATCTATGAAAGAAATAGAACTTGTAGAGTTTGTACAGAAGAAAAGTCCTGTTATAGATTATCATTGGACATTTTTCCCAAACATTTTAAATAAAAGTAGTAAATAGTACATACAAATTTGACCAGAAACAGAAGATCAAACACTTCCCTTTTCATTCTATTAGGATTTTGGAAGTCATGCCCACTTTGCTTGAAAATATACAAAAAAAAAATTCAACATCACTTTTCTAACAACACGACATTAGACTAGTATTACCTAATCTCAGTCAGGTCAAGAACAAGAACAAAAGACAACAGCATCTCTCAATACTACAAATGAAAAATATTACCAAATGATTAGCAAACTGATTCCAGCAATGCACATGATTTATTATCCTCCCTGCACACGTTTAACCTAAGGAATTAAAGTTGTTTTAATAGTAGGAAGTCAATGGAACTCTCCTTAATGTGTTCTCAATAAAAATTCATATGTAAAAAAATAAAAAATACTTCCCAGTTGCTTCCTATATTGTATTCCTTATTCTCTTTGTGAAAATGCACTTCGCCCCTCCCAATATTTGGTCCTCAATAATTTTCTCTACTGGTTTCACATATCCTTTGGAGATACTAATTTTAGGCAACAGGTACTCTGGCCTTTATCTTTGGGCTGCTTCCTAAATTTCTAGTTCTTACAGGGATTTTGTTTTTTAACAAAGCTAATAAGCCTATATCTGAAGATAAATACGTCAATATAGAAACTTCCCTCTAATATTCCCTCTAATATGAATTTCTCTCTGTTAATGTCACCACCATGTACTCCTATTTGCACATTACAGATTTGAAACCCAGCTACTAGATCTGTATGGAAGCCCCATAAGGGATGAAACTTCCCATATAAAGATGGGAAGTTATAAAAAATGATGGGTTTAAATCATGCATTATATTAGCCTCTTCTCAGTCTATATGATAACTAGATCTTCACTAAAACATGATAATTTTAAATAAATGTTAAATTTTAAGAGAAAAAAAATCTAAGCAGAAAGGAAGTCTCTTTGGCAATATAAAATGATGAGCATAAGATTTCAGAAAACCAACTATGGTCTCTGGTGCCGCAGCAGTGGGAGAATTATGGGGATTACTCATGAGGGAAGAAACCAAATACTGCATAAAAGAGAATAACAATGCAAGAAAATAAAAAACAAATTTATTTAAAAAAAAGGGAGTTGAAGAAAAGCAAACTCTTGCCTAATGCAAAACACCGAGGAGGTGTTCCAGTGCAGATTTCAAACTAGCTTCTTTCTAGTATATTCAGGTTTTGATGCTGTCAGAACTGTCTTTAATTATTTTTAATTATTTTGTTAAAGGAAGACAATTGATTCTGACAGCTATCCTTTAAGCCAGAATCTTTACTTTTTTATCCCATCTTGTAGTAAAAAACGACAGAAAAATACATTTGTGATGGCTTTACATTATAAAGGAAAGGGAAGGAGGAAAAAAAAAACAGACCTTTTCCAACTGATTTTCTTGTGAAAATATTCTGTGATCCTAGTAATTCTCTCAAGATTGGTAGATAATGATTGCATTCTAGATGTAAAGGTCTTACTTAGTAAAACGGACAAGACAATGCTTATCTCTTTTACAAAAAAAAAAAAAAAAAAAAGATTTTAGAACAAAAATGTCTATTGTCATGAATTATCCAAGAGCTTTGCTATGCTGCAGTCTGATCTAATATTGACTCTTCGGGATACATGCTAAAAAAAAAAAAAAAAAAAAAAAAAGAACTCTGAGATGTGATTGTGTAGCTTTGTCCCTTTAAAAATACCATCAGCTGTTAACAAAGGAATTAATGACTTCAAGGAACATATAAAATCACTTTGCTTGGAGAAATAGCTTGTTTGTACTACCAGCTATATTAATGGATAAAGTTTTGAAATCCAGATAATATCAGTTAAGTTCTCAGTAATGAAACAAATAGTTTTCAATCTTAATTATTTTCCTTACAGTTTTCAAAATCTAATTCTTATTAGGGATACTTTCAACAATTTGAAATCATTTTTACTAATTGTTTCCTTGTGATTTTTTTTTCACTGTGTGGTTAGTGAAGCACAGAAATGATTTTACAAATATTTATAGCTATGAATGTGTAATAAACTCTATTTACAACTAATACATAAACACTTGTGGTCTTTAACAGTTTGAACCACATACTAAAATGATGGAATATTTTGATATGTGTTTTATGTGAATGGAAATCAAATAACATTCAGAAATCAAAAAATATACACAAAGGTGATCTTTAAAACACAGGATTTAGAATAGACTTTATTTGATGAGTCAATCTTTTTAAAATCAATGCTAAATATATGGAAATATAACTCTATGTAACATGCTTTTTTGTGTATGATAATAAACATACAAAATTATATCCTAGTAAAATATGATTTTGCATATATACCACATATATTATACCACAGTGGTGTTATCAATACTGGGATTTCCTATTTCTAAATATTTTCTGGCTTAACAACAAAGTGTTAGAAGTAATCAAAGGGCGCCTGGACCCACATACTCCAGAAACATGCCCTTGTCCAGAGAGGACCTGAGGTTGTAGCTGTGGCCTTTGACTAGGTTTCAGTCACTCAGTTGATCGCTTTAACACTATATTGTAGGAAGCTTCCTTGAAAGAAAAAAGCATTAGAATTTCTGCATGAGATTCTAAAACAATGCTCTGCTTCCTAGTAAAATTACAAGACTGTAAATGTCTTTCCAGAAGCCACAGGGGAGTGAGTTGTAACCCACCTGTACCAGGTGATGGTGGGCTCAGGAGAGCCAGAAGCCCGGCAGGAAAATGTCATCTCCTCTCCTCTCTCTGCTGTAGCGTTAAAGGACTTCTGAGGCATTGTGATGGCTGGCGGCACTGAAAACGAAACAAACAGATTAGATTCAGGTGAAAATCATTTCACCGACACTGGGACTTTTTAATCACTCCTTTTTATGTTTCTTAAAGCCACACTTTAAAACTTGATTTACGGTTATATGTTTTCTTCCATAAGACTGACTTGGTTACATAGTAAAATATACTAAAATCACTATCCCCAGTCTCCTGTATAACAAATACTTTGATAATTTACTGGAATGAAATTTTACCATGTGTACTACATTAAAATAGATGAAGCGATGAACTAAGACATTTTAGCAAATCTGTATGTTTAAATTCACACCCATATGTATATGTACATATATGTAAATATACAAATTGATGAGCTATTTCTCACTTAATCACAGGCAACTCCCACTACCACCCTGACTAACATCAATACTGAGATCTGCTTGAAGCATAAATGGATTTCTTATTTGGGTTCTCATCTCTGTGTATGATTCTATAAGCAATCATTCACTACTTCAAGACAGGCCTTTCAAATTACGTGTCAAACCATAATGTTCTTTCTGATTAACTACACTTAATTTCTTCAAACAACTACAGAAAACTTTATGAAGAGAAACTGCTTAAGCCATAGAGTGTAAAATACATTTTCACGAACAATTCAATTTTAAAATTAAGCTTCCCCAATTTCTAATTACATTGCAAAAACTGTATCTGCCACACATTTTGGACATGTTATTACTATTAGTAAAATGCACTATCTGCAGTAAACTGATGATTAACATCCATACCAGAAGCTAAATTTCAATGTAAAGAACACATTTTGATTTAATGCACACATTTCTGATTTTTTACTGAATGACAAAATTATATTCCTAAAATTCATTATATCAGTACATAAGAGTTTTTTCACATATGCTAAACTACATGATCAGACAGGCATTTAGAAGTGTGATCATAATTAAGGATCTCTACATTAGCATTCAGGTCAGCATTAAGGTTGCATTATCACAAATGATGGTGGGGATAGGAACTGATATGCATCTTGGTAATGAAGACTAATAAATAAAGCTTCTCTCTCTATGAATTTAGATACAAGGTACATGATCTGACATGCTGTCTCTAAAGCAACATAATAATTACTAGTGTTGCAATAGGATGGACAGTTTTTTGCAAATATTAATTCTGCATTTCAGTACATTAAGGCCTGAAATTTGGTATTGTTTTCCTTAACTTTTAGTTATGGATAAGAACACTTTGACCAAAATAGATTGCTTCCTTTTTTTTGTTTTTGATAAATGTAGTTGTAATAATATAATGACATGTTTGTATAACTATAAAGACTTTTACTTTATTACAAAATTAAGATAAATATATCTGACACAAGCTATGCAATCTCTGTCGTCAGACACGGTACGGATGGAGGGGAATTGCTCTGAAAAATCAGACTTTCCACTGCTAACTTATGTTATGACCTCCCTTTTTTGTATAATTGTAATATCAAAATATTCTGAACAACTTATTCAGCTTACAATTGGACTGCCTCAGCCGCATAAGGCCTGCCTGGCCCTGACAAGCAAGCACTGCACCAGGGTGAGAAATTCCTCTAAAGTGACTTGACAACTGGCTGATCAATAAAAGCAAAGGGCTACTTCTGCAAAGTCTCTCTCACTGCAGGATGGAGGAAAACCCAAATCTCATCACTCTACTATCTCACCTAGCCTTCTATTCAGCTTCTAGAGAATTACTCAAACTTCCTAGTGTCTGGCCTTTAATGTGGAAATTCATCCAGGTTGCCTGTTTTAGAGCTAGTCTGGTTTTCTACCGGCTACACTTCAAAGGTATTCACACAAGTCTTCTGGTTAGTCTTTCAGGATTCTACTATCTAGTCTTTAGATAAGGAAATTCACCTATGTCTCCTATTCAGAGCAAATTATGCTTTCTACTATATAGACCTCAAGGAAACTCACTTAAAACCTTTTAGCAAGTTTCTTCAAAGAACTTTTCTGAAATTTGACTTGCAAGAAATTTCCTCTTCCTGCCTCCCAAAGTGTCTCAGGTAGGAAAAAAAAAATTAAGTAGTAGATAAGGTTTAAGGGACTTTATTTTAGTTAATCTTCACTATAGTAATATTAGTCTTAAACTTGGTGCATCTATGTACCTGTTTTTAACCTTGATTGATTTTAGAATGTTATAATCTCAAGTAAAGGTCAAAATGACCCCAGACTATTCTTAGCAAAAAGGTGATTGTGATCTCAGCCCCTTTCGTATGCTAATGTCATCCCTCTGCCTGCTTGAAATGTATAAAATAAACCTCTGCTGAAGGCAGAGCAGGAAGATTTGCACCCAACTCTGACTCCCTGTCTTCCTCACTCCCGTTCCCCTTTATTCCCCAATTTTTGGAATATTGCCTTGCCAACATAGTTCCAACCTTGAGACCCTGCCTGTGTCAGCCTCTCAACAGCCTGAAATCTGGGTTGGTCCAACAGCCTGAAATCGGGGTTGGTCCCCGAAATACATCCTATGTTTAATGTGCATAAATGGAAACCCTTCCAAGTGAAGGATGACATAGATGCTCTAGTTCTTGCCCTATAACTGTTAAGAACCTAACACATTATGTATTAGTCACCATAAATTCCTTACTTATAAAATGAAGAATGTATGATGAATGATTTCTAAGACTTGAACAACCTTATTACATTTTATGATACACTGACAGCATTAATGTTATCAATGTTCTTATACCATAGATTAACAGAAAAATATTATGATTGCATATTTACATACTTTAAGATACTTTGATGAGTATTCTATACTTCAGAATGATTACACTATTCTGAAGAATAATAGCATCAATATGAGTGATTCCAAATTTGCTACTAAGTTCTATTAAATAATCTTAAAAAGGATTACATAGTTGTTTTGTTCAATTTTTCCCTCATAAAATTCTAGCACTTTAAAAATACTTTTTTTTGCATTTCTATACCTGAAACATCCAATTTTAATAATAACAGTAAAAAATAATCAATAGCAGCAAATCATGGGGTTGGGATAAATGAATCTTCTTTCCACAGTAAAAATATTATTAGACCCAAATGACTGTTTTTCAAATAAAAACTAAAGGTGTACAAAGCTGAAAGTATGATCCATTCAAAGAAGAAAAAAATTAAATCCACAGAAGATAATTACTGTAAATAACCTGAGGACAAATAGATAAAAAAATGTTGAAATGACTGTTATCAAGTTGCTCAAAGAACTAAAGGTAAATATGGAGAAACTCAAGACAAGATAGAACAAAAAAGAAAAGAAACCCAGGTTGTGGATCAAACACAGTAACTGAAAATATTAATTCATTAGCAATGCAAGAGATCACTCAGATGCAGAAATGAGAAAGAATCAGTAAATATGAATGAAGACAACTGTGATTCTTAAATGGGGAGGAGGCAGACAAAACACTGAAGAACAGTGAAAAAAGTCTAAAAAACCACTGGGACAAAATCAAGTTGACCAAAATAATATTGTGTTATATCAAGATGAAGAGTAGATAGGGACAGAGAACATTTGAAGAAATAAGGACTAAAAATACGCAACCATATTTATAAACATCCAGGAAACTCAACAAACTGCAAATAACTTGTTTCAAAGCAAACCAAATACACATTAAAATAAAGCATTTACAAGATGGATGAATGATTTAAATATTGAAAGCAGGATGATAGAAGTGACTCTTCAGATATAGTTGATCTTCAATAACATATCAAAAAGATTTGATGGGCCATCCCTGGTGGTGCAACCGGTTAAAGTGTAGCACTAAGAATTGAAAGCCACTTCCTCATGAGTTCAAGCCCTGCCTGCCCCGGGAGGTGACCACATGGCACAGCAGAACTCTCCTGACCCGCCCGCTGCTCCCCTCAGCAGTGTACTTCATCAGTTGGCCTGTTCTGCTCCCCACTCTCGTGAATCCTCTCACCACCCTGCACCTCTGGCCTGTACCCCAGTTCTGTATGCATAAATAAATAAATCTTTAAAAAAAGATTTGATGGACAGAAGATAATGAGAGAATATATTCAAAAGTGCTAGAAGAATACAAAAAGTCTTGACAACCAAGAAATCTATAGCTAGGAAAACTGTTCTTCATAAATGGGGGAAATAATTATTAGACATTCCTATAAACAAAAGCTGAGGGAATTTGTTACCACAAAACTCACCTTACATGAAATGTTCAAGGTAGCTCTATGAGGTGAAATAAAAACAGATCAGACAGTAACAGGTAAAATGAAATTAACAGTTGTTGGCAAGAATATGGATGCTGGTGCTTTAGAACTGTAGTGAGAATGTAAAATAATAATGCTACTGTGGAAAGCTTTTTGGTAGCACCTCAAAATCAAAAACAGAAATCCTATATGATCCAGCAATTTCACTTCTGGGTATATGATCAAGAGTTGCAAGTATGTCTCAAATAAATATTTCTGTGTCCATGTTCATGGTGAGACTAGTTACAATATTAAATTAGTGGATGCAGTTCAGATGCTCATCAATCAATGAATGAACAATCACGTTATATGTTATGCATGAAATGAAATGAAATATTATTTAGCCTTAAAAAGAAATTATCACGTAATTTACAAAATGAATAAATTGTTGAGCTAATAAATCGGTGGCAGAAAAACAAATATCTATGATTCTACTTGTTATGAAGCTGGAAAAATCAAAATCATAGATACAGAAAATGTAATAGTGGTTGCTAGGTTCTTATGGAAGAGGAAAAAGGGTATTATTATTAAATGGGTACAGACTATCAATTTGCAAGATGAAGAGATTATAAGCATGGGGTGGTGGATGTTGGTAACATTACTAATGTATATGATACCATCTATCATACACTTAAAAAAAAACTGTTACAATGGTTAATTTTATCTTATGTAAATTCATGACAATGTGCAAAAAGTGAAGGAACAAAAGGGGAATCCGTATATGCTATGGGCTTAGGATATATCCATATATCCACAAGAGAATAATTGGAACAGGTTAAC